ATAAAAAGATCCCAGGGACAAAGAGGTCCTATTGTCTTTCTGTCATCATGAGTCATTATATATACATATATATATTTAACAATTAGGTTACCAGAACTGGCCACTAGAGGAAGCCAGAAACCATGCTATATGAAGCGTTCTCTAGGGAAATATATTTCCCTGATGTCATTACTAGAACTGGCCATGAAAGAGAGCGTGAGACCATCCTATGTATAGCATTTGCTATTAAAACAGTGTTCACTATAATCTTCATTTTTACAGCATCTGTGGGGTGGGGCTTGGAACTGATCCTCTACAGGTATAGAGGGCATACTGTATACCAATAGAAATGATTGCAATGCCACAGTCATGAAGGCAATCAGGAAATAAAAAGTGAAAATAGACAGAACTGATTGAAACACAATGTTAGTTTATCAAGCAAAAGGAAAACATATACAACCCTGTTAAATGAATGCAAAGATGGCTAAAAGGTCTCCTAACATACCCTCTCCTCCAGTACAGCTACCATAAGAGCAAAAGCTGTGGGGTCCTGTAATATATGGTGTGTGGCAACACCAATCCTGACAACACCAAACTGGCACAGAAGTTGGACATCTGTTTCCATGAGATATGAAACTGTGCAATTGTATTCCCCTACTACCATTCCTAGGGTAGCATTCTGAATCTTATTTATTTGTTTGTGCCTGTTGTTAGGGACACTAATAATCCTTGACTATTTGTGCTTTGTGGAGGGGCTCAGTCAACCCTAACCAGACCTTGTGGGAGGACTTGTCCACATGTGTTCTCAAGGCAACTACTTACAAATGGACCCCACAATGTACCTTATTCCAAAATGGCTGACTATATTTTCAGACAGGACAGCAGACATTAGCTTGTCAGATTATAATTTGGGAGAGCCCCAGAGTTCAAATCTCAGTCATTAAATTTACTGAGTGACCTTGGACCAGTCACACTCTATTGAAGTGAGTTGTATCACATAATTGTAGAGAGGACTGACATGGGAAGAAAAGAGCTAGAGCTCATGGGAGGAAAGGTGGGATGCAAATGTAACAAATAATCAGTAAACAAAATGAATTTTTGGCAATTGTAACTGGTTAAACTTTGAAAGAGGAGCTGTAATGCATTCAAAACATGAATTTTTGGCAATTGTAACTGAAAGAGGAGCTGTAATGCATTCAAAACATTTTTGTATGCATGACAGCTCACCAGTGAATTGGATACATGGCTACGGGAGCCTGATTCTTCACTGTGCCACCCAGGAGTAGGATCATCCTGTGTAGCCTTGGGCAAGCCACACTGTCACAGTGTGCTCCAGAAGAAAGGGAGGTCAAACCTAGTATTAACCCACAAAAGGCTACTAAATTTAATGATTGTGCAGATAAAAGTAGGCACAACGTTACAGCTCAGTTTCACTGCAGGGTTGAGTTCTCAAGCTGTTGGAGTGTAACTCCCAATATTTCTTGCCATTGACTATGCTGGTTAGAGTTGCAGTAATCAAATAACATCTACTAAAAAACAGAAAAATTGATTCATTGGAAATATGGTGCTGGATGAGAACTTTATGGTCACTAGGGGCTGCTAAGATGTAGAAATGGGTCCTAGACCAAATCAAGCCTGAACTATCTCTGGAAGCAGAAATGACTAAACTGAGGCTGTCATACTTTGGATACATCATGAGGAGACAATGCTCAATGGAAAAGATGATAATGCTGGGAAAAGTTAAAGACTGTGGGGGGAAAAGAAAGACCAAATATGGGTTGAACTGACTCAATAAAGGAATACTGTACATGGGTGTGAGTTTGCAAGAGCAGAGCTGTTAATCACAGGACATTTTGAAAGTCACTCACTCAAAAGGCTGCCAAAGGTCAGAGGGGACTTGATGTCACATAACAGCAATAGCAAATAGCTGAAAGGCTGCATCTTGCCCATTGCAGTCCTAGTCTGCATTACTGCATTACTTGGGAATAATTAAGGTATTATAGTACTTTTAGTTGGTTACATTGGAGCAACAACTATCAATTAGAAATTATTTTCCAGGTAGAAGGAGTAACACCTATGTTATTTACTTAGCAACTCCTAGTTACTTTCAGATGTTACTTTTAGAACTGATTTAAAAACATTTTTAGAAGCATTTTGACAGAAATTTCCAGATTTGTGTCACTCCTTTATCAACTTTTAACTGGCAAGGAAAGGGTTATTTGCTTTTGTCTTTTATAATTAATAGATATATTTCTAAGGTGTAATATAAATAGGGTACTCACAGCGATGTAGTGGACAGAGTGACAGATAAGGCCTGAGGAGACCTGGGGTTGAGTCCCTGCTTGGCCATGGAAACTCAGTGGTGGGGGCTTGCACTGGTAAAGCTACTCCTTAAATATCTCACTTATCTTGAGAACCTTTTAGGCTCTCTGTAAATCAGATGCAATGTGACAAGACATAACACACACATAAGATGAGAAATGGTCCATAGAGGGAACTAAAGACTATTGCTGAGGCAAGAAATACCAAGAGGCTTCAAAATTCCTTGCCAACATCTTGTCATGTTGAAACAGCCTGAATCAGAAATTGTTCTCAGTCTCTAATTTCAGGCCTGTTTCACAGCTCCAAACAGATGTGGGGTGATATGCAATAATGTCCAGCCCGTTTTGAAAGTCCATGGAATGCTACTGCCAAGACAGGCTGGCCCAACAATTTTATGAATGGAAATGGCGGGTACTAAAACATATTGCAGCAATCTTCTTTTTAAATCTTGCACCCTGCCTTAGGGTGAGGAAGAATGGAGTGGAAAACTGTATCATGGGTACATTTTATAATGTGGGAAATCTGCTACATCTACATTTGCATTCATAGAAGCTATTTTGGTCCTCTTTGCATGTGTGAATATTCTAGGCATTATAGACCAAAGCAGGATCGACTACAATTGGATATGACTGGCAATGCTCAGTCATTAAGTCCACTTAGCAGTAATAACGGATGTTGCTTCATGCAGCTAGATACTGAGAGAAGCATGGCACCATTTTCCTTGAAAGAGTTTGAGAGATGAAAGATGAGAGAGTAATTCCTATAAAGATGAAAAATGCTAGGGAAATTTACTTTCTACTTGTTACCAACAGAGAAAATTATATTCCCATTTAGCTGCTATTTGATAGTTTGCGATGAAAGTAAATCCAGCAGCAGTAAAATAGCTTTACTAATTTGCATAATCTAATTAAAATCACTCATAAATTCAGTTGTGCCTGTGTCAAGTGAAATTTAATTGATAGGAGAGATGTGCAACAATAAATCAGTTGAAAGACAAAACAGAATTATAGAGGATGCAGTCCAGACCTACGTAAATGCCAGTTCTTCTATTGGTAGAGCACTATCAATAATCCCCTTAGCAAAAACTGTTCCACATTTTGTTCTGCAAACAATTTTGTGGTGAAAAGTGGGCTTGCAGGAGTTGTGACATGTCCCCCTTTTTGTGTTCTTCCCTGACTACTTCAACCACTGTTCTCCTTTCTCTACTTTTCTTCCTGCGCAGTTTTTTTTGTATTCTATTTCTAAAATCCAGTCAATCAATACTAAGGTGCAAACAAGTTGTTGATTTTATGCATTAATTAATAAATTGGTTAATATCCTACATGTCCATAACAAGTTACACACCCAAAGGAGCTAAAATCTTAAAACCCAACAACTAATGCAACAATTTAGACATTAGAAAATGTATAAGAATACAAAGGTACAATGAAATAATAGATTTATAGCGTGCTTGGATTTCTTGTAAGGGCAAACAAATCTTAATTTTTCAAATTGTAAACACATATAATCAATACACTACAGTATTTGGATTCAGACTTACTCATAGTTAGAACAGACCCATTTGAATCAGAGGGATATATAATTATTTATTATTATATGCTAAGTTGATTTGAATTCAGAGCAATCTAGGTATAAAGTGCTCGGAAGTGGGTTCTTCCTCTGGTAATACTCAAGAGTTTACAGCTTGTCCAAGGCTACACAGGCTGGCTCTTCTCTTGGGAGGCACAGAGGGAAATCAAACTCCAGACCCCTGGTTACTGTAATCCACTGAGCTAGAATTATTTATGATTAACTGGAGTGATATAGATTTTAATGGTTCTTCTATTTATGACTAGACTTGGCTGCATCCCCAGAAATGGAGTCACCTTTCTGGGCTAAAACTCCCAGCATATCCCCCATCAGCATGGCCAGAGGGCATTGACAATTGTATTCCCATCTCGGAATTCAGCCCATCACCTTTTCTTTTAAATATCACAATGTAGCTGTTAAGTTGTGACTAATGTCACTTCATCACTGAGGGCAGCTGGTCATGTTGGTGGGAAGGTGTTGGGCAGGAAAGATGGGAATAAGTATATCTCCTCTGCACTGCTGAAGCAGTCAGTGAAACTGCTGCAGTGCAGCCTGGACAGGAAGAAAGTTTCACAGCTCTCTAAGAAACACAGAGATAGGTTTCTTTCCTACAGGTTCCATGCAGCAGGATAACACTTTCACCCTGTCAGTGCAATCCACTCTCCAAAATTACTGAAAAGGGAGGTATTTTGATTTGCATTTTTGTGTATGTATTTTCAGAGAGGTAGCTGTGTTATTTTGTGCCAAGAGCAAGAAAAAGAAATAAAAACGAACTGGAAACCAAACCAAATCAAAAGCATTGCAGCACTCTTAAGACAATTTCAGCTTGAGCCTTTGTAGGTCAGCTCCAGTTCTCAAAAATATAAAGCACAAAATCACATGTCTGAAGTGGTAGACTTTATCCACAAAAGCTCATGCTGAAATACGTTTGTTAGGCACCACTTATTTCTTAAACACCCCTTGTGTCTTTGTTCCATTTAATTCTTATTGAATGTGTGTGAACTTTGCACTAAATAAACAGAAACTGAATTCAGTACTAAGCTGAATGGCTTTTCCAGAAGGTTCTCGACATTAAACTGACAAGTGGCAATTTTGAAAACCAAAAACCAGACCTCCTTCTTGTGTTTCAGGTACACAAAGATGAAGACAGCAACCAACATCTATATTTTTAACCTGGCTCTAGCAGATGCTCTAGTTACCACAACCATGCCTTTCCAAAGTACTGAGTACTTGATGAACTCTTGGCCATTTGGGGATGTGCTGTGTAAAATAGTTATTTCAATTGACTACTATAACATGTTCACCAGCATCTTCACTCTGACCATGATGAGTGTGGATCGATATATTGCTGTGTGCCACCCTGTGAAGGCTCTGGATTTCCGTACCCCTCTGAAGGCCAAGATAATCAACATATGTATCTGGCTCTTGTCTTCATCAGTTGGCATATCAGCCATAGTCCTTGGAGGCACTGAGTTCCGGGAAGGTAAGTATAGGCTCTGCCCTTTAAATATAATGAGAGCTGATCCTGCTACATGGTTCAGTGTGACAGCTGCTTCAGGCAACAGATTTTGGGTGACATGAAAGTGCCACATATATTTAGTTTTTTATTTTTATTTTACTGCCAATCAGGGAAAGAGTATGTATGGTGTTTTTTTTTAGTGTCATATGCTATAATTACTCAACTAGCTTTCAATGTTGCATGCATTCTACTTGGGTGGGTGAATGGCAGTTTGTGCTATGCCTCAGGCAGCCCTAAGCCTTGGGATGGCCCTGTATGCAAAGCTCATGGGCCAGAATCCAAAAGATTCTGTTTTAGGATTGACCTGATGAAGGTTAAGAAGTCAACATTACCATCCATTGCCATGTTCTAAGTTAAATGTCCACAACAGTTTCTTAACTAGAAGCAATTTGTTGCTTTATCCTGATGGACTTACTTCAGCAGGTATAAATAGCAGAATTCTGGCCACTGTTTGCTGATAAACCTTTGATAGAGTAATGATGTGCATCAAACCTTGGTAATATTTATGGCCAAATAAAGGACACACAGATCAGGGACAAACTTGCCTTACCCCCTTTAGGAGAGTTTCTAATCCTTGTCTGGCTGTGATATTATTTGTATTGTTCCACAGCTCCATTAAAACAAACAAACAAACCTCCCAACGGGGGAAAAAGCAATGGCTTAGCTAGAGGTGTGGGTTACCCAACTCAAGAATCATCTTTCAGTAACCATGCATGCACGTAGTGTAATAATATTTAGTATTTCATTAAGTGTATTAATATTTCACTGAAGTTCTATGAACTGAGTTGAGCATTATTGATTCTGGAGATGTGGTAGACTTTAAATGTTGATTGTAACATAGTATATTGGGATACACACTTTCTCAGATGGGAGATTCAATCTCCTCCAAAAGATGCTGCTACAGAAAGGATGTCTTCCTAGGTATCCTATGGCACAAAGACCAACAGGCAGTTGCATTCACACCACTGTAACAAGTAAAAAAGGAGAAAAAAATAGTTGGAGGAAAGGCAGAGTGTAATACCCTAACTGTTGTGACCTCGTGGCGCAGTGGTTAAACTGCTGTACTGCAGCTAAAACTGTGCTCATGACCTGGGGTTCAATCCCAGGTAGCCGGCTCAAGGTTGACTCAGCCTTCTATCCTTCCGAGGTCGGTAAAATGAGTACCCAGCTCGCTGGGGGAGGGGGAATGTGTAGCCTGCATAATTAACTTGTAAACCGCCCAGGGAGTGCTTGAAGCGCTATGGGGCGGTATATAAGCAACACACTTTGCTTTTTTACCTATCCACTCTAAGCTCATACATCAGTCATCCTTCCGCAAGCATACATGCACATAGTCTTAATAGTGTAATAATGTCTAATATTTCATTGAGTGCAACAATATTTTACTGAAGTTTAATGATCTAGGTTGTGTGGGAACAAATAACATTCCAGAACACACAGAGAAAGGCTATATGAGCTGCAACACAGCTCTTCACCCTGCAGCTCTGAAAAATGCCTAGCAGAGCAATTGTAAGGGGATATACAGTGTATGCCATGCAGTTTCCTAGTCTGAGCCCTACCTAGCACCTCAGCAGCTGGAGTGTTCAGGGGAGATCTGGTTGCAGGGGTCAGCTGTCCCTCACCTTTTCTTTTGGTGGCAGCAGCTCAGTCTAAGATACTGCAGAAACTCTGAATGTTCCCTTTTCTCATTTCAAATAGCTGAGCATCTTTAAAAACTTTCAAACCCTATAAATGCTAGATAGAAAGTGAAGGTCCATAGGTGTATTCGTCTACCCTGAGGCAACATGGAACTCTTTGCATCACCATGTACTTGCCCCAGAATTGCACAGAGATCCCTGATTTGGACTGGTTTCCCAAACAGTCCATAAACAGTACGCATCCCTACTTCAGAGAACAGCCAGCCAAAATCTGACCCTACAAATGTTGTTTGACTGCAACTCCCATTATTGCTAACCATTTCCACTACCTTCACCTAGCTAGTGGTGAAAATGCTGGAAGCTGCAGTTCAACAACTATTGGAAGGCATGTATTCCCATCCCTTCTCTAAAATGCCCCTGGTTCTTTCCCAAGGTGAAGTGGATTGCCCCCACCAGCTGGAAGATTCCCAGGCCATCATCAAAGTCATCTGGAAAAAATATGGTATCCAATGGGTCATCCCACATGTGCAGATCACAGCTGCTGGATGGACTGGCCAGTATCTTAATGGCAATTAATATTAGCATCCTCCATGCAGCAGCTGTTAAATTTTCTATGGTTTCCCTATAATTTTTAATGTCAGCCCAGAAAAAGACACTATTTGTTTTGAAGGACAAAAGCTTGTTAAACCCTTAGAACAATCAAGTTGGCTGGAATATTATAGTACTCCATAGAATATATATCTTTACTCCTGCATCATAAATGTCTTATTGCTATAAATCATGTGTCTTCACTCTCAATTGCTCTACTTCATTACTTACGGAACTCTTCCCCTATAAGCTATTGCTTCTCTTTCTAAGCTGTGGAACTGAGAAGAGCTAAGATTCATCAGGGAGCTACTGAATTGCTGGTAGGTAGAGAGAGTGGACTTTCTGGGATACATTTGCTATGGTTTATCCACTAAATTCAACAGTGACATCAGACTTGAAACAATTAGATTAATTATCTGGAGAACATGCTGAGGAGAGGCAATTTAAAAAGATGGGAGCAACTGGGAAGCAACTCCAAACTTACTTTTCTGTCATGCAGTGGATATACTAGGGTAAAAAATCCCAAGGTATCAGGGCTATGCTACTTACATATATATATTTTTTGAGCAAACAGTCCTCTGCACGTAACAATTCCTCTGTTTGCATTGGCCTGGGGAAACATCACAGAAAGTACCATATAAAACTTGAATATCAGCGAGCCTTATTCACCGGGGGAAACTTGATTAACCGTTCATACCAGCATGGTGCAAATGGACCCTTTCACTTATTTTCTGTTCACTGAGCCTGCACTCAGCACCAGAAGAGCTATGCAAGAGGATTTGGGGCCTTCATGTCCACCCTTCCCCTATATTTTTGTACCATTGTGCCTGACAAAACATTTTGGAGAACTCAAAAGCTTGCAGCACTTCTGTGCCAGTTGTGTAACATTTCAGTGTCTTAGTGAAAATTTCTTGCACAACTCTGCATTTTGTTCTTACAACATCTTACATCTGACCTCATCTGACTTGTGTCTGTTCTCCTTGTTGCCTCTTTCCTTTACAGATACTGGCAGCACTGAGTGTTCTCTGCAGTTTCCAGATGATGACTATGATTGGTGGGACACCTTTATGAAAATCTGTGTCTTTGTCTTTGCATTTGTTATCCCAGTGCTGATTATAGTTATTTGCTATACTCTGATGATTCTGCGCTTGAAAAGTGTACGGCTTCTGTCTGGATCTCGGGAAAAAGACCGGAACCTTCGTCGCATCACCAGATTGGTTCTTGTTGTGGTTGCTGTCTTCATTATCTGCTGGACCCCCATTCACATTTTTGTATTAGTTGAGGCCCTTGGGGATGTGTCGCACAGCACTGCAGCCATTTCTAGCTATTATTTCTGCATTGCATTGGGCTACACCAACAGCAGTCTAAATCCCATCCTGTATGCTTTTCTTGATGAAAACTTCAAGCGATGCTTCAAGGACTTCTGCTTTCCTTTTAAAATGAAGACAGACAGACAAGGCACCAACAGAGTCAGAAACATCATTCAAGATCCTGTGTACGTCAAGGATGCTGATGGTACAAACAAGCCAGTATGACTAGGCGTGGAGATGTCGTCTTATTGTCCTCCTGGACAAGAGGAATCCAATGATCTTGGACTAACCCAAATAACCACTGCAGTGTGAAATTGATAGCAGTAGAACTGATTTCTTTCAGAACTCCCATAGATTGAACTGAAGTATGGCCATTGCTTGGCATGAACTGTTTCTTCACATATGCTCACTAATTAGCAATTTTAGGGTTATATTCATAAAAAGCTCTTGGTACACAACAACAACAAAACAGAAGGAAAAAAAACATTTGGTGCAGGAAAAGGAGAAGCCCTTTATAAAATTAATGTCTTAATAGCATTGGGGGGTGGGGAGAAGCAAAGAAAAAAAAACCTTGCAAGGACCTTTTTCTTGTAGCATCTCCTGGTTCTTATTTAGATTCCAGACGGGAACTAGCACATGTCTTTTAGCTGAAGAATTAATTAAGGAATAAGGAGGTAATATTTTCCTTACAGTCTTCAAACGAGATGCATATTTTCAGAAGCGTATATGTCCAAGTCATGTAATGAATTATGGAATCTAGTTTTATATTGCACCAACGGTGAGCTTCTTTGAAATCCCAGCCAGCACTGGATGAAAATAATCAAGATCTATATGGTGACAGCACCTTTTAGTTAAGAAGCTCGTCTGCTCAAACATGCAGCATTCTTTACTATGTCAAATTAATGGCTGTTAATTCTGAAGGAGCCAAGTAAGCTTTTAACATACTTACTGCATGAATGGGTTCTGGGAACTATATATGTCTATACAATACATATCCTTCATATCCACATTATCTAGGATGCCCAACAAGGAAGAACTAGATATTTGACCGAAACATAGAAAGGAAGTTTCTAAAGATCTTGGAGTTGCATGCCCTACTTTTCCTTCCTGCTGGTCCTCAGAGGACTACATTTGTCCCTTTTTTTACAACCAGGTGTTCAGTTCTGGAGACATAAATCCTCATTTGCCTCAATGTTGCAAATAAGAATGAGGCCACATTGTTCTTCTCAGCAACAAGGATGGCATGGAATTTCTTGGGCTACAGCTCTAGTTCTTGCATTGGCAGGAACAATGTTTTGAGCAAAAGCTCTTATTTTTTCACTCAGAGTTGCTTGTTTTGCATCAAATTGCATAATTTGTGAACTGTATAAATTGTGTAGGTCATCACAAATTAGGATGTTTGCTCTTTAATTTAAAAATCTGAATTGCTGTGTGTATTGTGAGTGTCTTTCTTAATAAGTAGTGAGTACCTTTGGGCTTGCTGTGTATGTTTACACTTTATCAAGGGGAAATACATTACACAACTTACAAATACTTTGAAGGACAAAAAAAGAAAGAAAGAAAAAGATGGCTCTCACTTTTAGGTGGAGGTGTAACATCTCACAAGACTTTTAACATTCCTCATTGAGATGTCTCTTCATGTCAAGACAGCTAAAACTGATGAGAGCAAGGAATTTAACAACTATTATTTGTATTCCTAGGCAAATTTACTTCCTACATTCATGGGGTGAAAATATGGTTTTCAGTTCTCGGGAAGGTGTGTGGGCCAGTATCCTTAACATGGAGAAATGTGCCCTCAGTTCCTGGAAGAACATCATTCATTTTTAGGCTGAAGATTTTCCACAGCAATGGTGGGATCCTGGGAGCTGCACTGGGATGTTTAGGGGTCATATACAGGCAACACAATTCCTACCCCTGGTCTAAAGCTTTAACCTTGGGCTGATTTGTAAGATTTTCCCTCAGCCTCCCATTGCCATGTGATTTTTTTTCCTCTATCAGATTCCAAATGTGATATGTACAGAAGCCACACCAATTTCAGAGCCAAAATGTAGCATGTAAATATGCATACTCTATCCCAGTTAGGGGTTTTGGTCCATAACAATGTGAACAGTCTGCATATGTTTGCACAGTGATGTTTTTGATTCAAGCATGATCACAAATATTTGTATTTGTGTCTGTCTGCAACAAGTGTTTCTGTGTTGTTGCTGTTTAAAAGGAAAAAAATACAAATACAGAAATATGTATCAGTATCTATACATACGTAGATATAGATATATATTCCTCATAATCACTCCTCTGTGTGAATTTCCAGAAATATCTCTTAACTACTGAGAGTGACAGTATGCCTTTCATTAACATGGCACTGAATATAAGACTATCAATCATATGGAGAAGAATGTAGTAAAAATAACTTTTCTTACTTAACATTTGATGCAGAAGGACATTTAAAAAAAAACTTTGAAGCATTTACCATCCGTTCTTCACATGCTTTTGTTCAGCTTTTTTTCTTTGTTTGAAATTACATAAAAGTACCATTCCCGAGTGTTGAAATAGTTTACTCTTCTTAATATATAAAATAATGAATTGAATACAGAATAAACAAATACACATCCAGAGAGATGTTAGTTAAATATTTTATCAGAATCCATTGGTTATACAACAATATCCACCACTAAACAGTGCAAAAAACTTCGTTATTTTGCATAGCTATCTTCCATGTTACTTTTCAGATCATTCTACTGAAAGAGCTTTAAAACCCACCACTCCAGCTGCTTGAGTAATCTCTATCAATCAAGATAGCAATCTATTTATCTATTTTTCTTTATTAAATTTATCAATTCACCATATCAAAGACTTCAGTGTGGTCTACCAATGATTAAAAGAGACAAACACATACTGTATCTTTACAATAAAAAGAAATAGATGAGTATTGTGGAGTCTGGGGCTCTTTAGTTCATTTTTCTTTGCCTAATACTGAGGTATATTCTTCTTTTGTGTTTTGATGAGTGGAGCAAAACCTAACTTCAGACCTAAATTGAAACAAAAATGAAGCTGTTTAATGGCTCCTTTGATTTAGGGAAGGAAAATAAAAAAGGCCTGTCTCTCAAGTGATAATGAGGTGGAAGTTGTGACTGATTGCTAAAGATTTCTGAGCTGTCCATGATAGATCAGGAAAAAGATCTTGGTGTGCTGGTAATGAAAGTGTCAACCCAGTGTGGGGTGGCAGTGAAGAAGGCCAATTCTACACTAGGTATCATTAAAAAGGGCATTGAAAATAAAGCAGCCAACATTATAATGCCATTGTACAAAACGCTGGTAAGGCCACACCTGGAGTATTGTGTACAGTTCTAATTGCGGCACCTCAAAAAAGACATAGTGGAACTGGAAAAGGTGCAAATCAGAGTGACTAAAATGATGACCGGGCTAGGGCACCTCCCTTATGAGGAAAGGCTACAGCATTTGGGGCTCTTTAGTCTAGAAAAAAGGCGCCTGAGGCGGAACATGATAAAGTTGTATAAATTATGCAGGTAGTAGATCAAGTGGATCTCACGCAGTACCAGAACCAGGGGACATTCACTCAAATTGAGTGTTGGGATAGTGAGAACAGACAAAAGAAAATATTTCTTTACCTAGCGTGTTGTTTGTCTGTTCAACTCCTTGCCACAGGATGTGGTGATGGCATCTAGCTTGAAAAGGGGATTGGACAGATTTGTGGAGGAAAAGTCAGGTGACAAGCCATTATAGGCATGTATAATCTCCAGGCTTATAAGGAAGGTACTTCAAAATGCCAAATGCAGGGGAGGGGTATCAGGAAAGAGGTATTTAGTTGTCTCATGTGCTCCCAGAGGCTTCTGGTGGGTCCACTGTGAGGTACAGGAAGCTGGACTAGATGAGCCATTGGCCTGATCCAGCAAGACTCTTCTTATGTTCTTATGAACAGTCCTCAAACAATTTAACTTCAGTATGGATTAAAGCCTAACTACATGCAGTTGTCACTACAGTCCATAAAACTCAACTTATCAAAACTAACACAGGAAGCTGCAACAATTCTTTGACAGCAGGTTATCTCAGAAATGCTGAGTGTTTTATCTGTATAACATGGTAGTTTCTTGACCTTGATCTTTAGCAGCTGTAAGGGGTGGATTTTACAGACACTGGAGCTGCATTTTAATTCAGCCTTTGTGTATAAGAGCAGAAAATGATATTACAGTCAGCCTGTAATTAAAGCTAAAAGCACATTAGTGTCAGAGAGACTTGATTCAGGTGGAGATTCATGCCTGAGAAATCAAAGGAATCCCATGCTTATATCCTGAAGACTAGTTACCAGTCAAACAAGTTAAGCTGTGAATTATGTCAGGTGAGAAAAGCTCCTGCTGCACAATCAGATACAGTACTTTCAGCAGTTAAGGAATTCCTTCTTCTAATGATAGATTATTTGTAATGTCTGTTTCTCCTCTGAGGGAGAATGGATCTGAAGCTATCTACTACCCTTGCCCTTGCAATTAATTAGCTCTTCTGGGCCCTTCAGTCATTCTACAGAATAAGCTTACTCCCCATCTCTAGAATCTGCCTTCTGCAAAAGAGGATACAAACCTGACAGTCATTCTCTCCTTTTCCATACATGCACACTTTCTAATATATAACATGATGAGGTAATTCTTGTTGTATCTTGTTTTTTAAGTTTTTGCTCCAATAATGTCCTTTAAATATATACAGTATTTGGACTGTATTATTATAAAAGGGATTCTTGCTAAAGCTGCTATTAAGAAAAAGTGAAAACAGAATGAACAGACTAACCACACAAAGCAAGCAAACCAAGCACACCACACAGACATTAAGTAAACTAAACAACCAACATATATTGAAATGAAGCCTAAAAATGGTAAGCCAACACCAGTGTATTGAGAGGATGTGTGCAAAGGAGGGTAAGATAAATGTTGAGAAATGCCTTATAAAATAATGTGCGGGCCAAAATACTGACTTCGCAAACAGAGAACAACAAATATAAAGAGCAAAGAAAGATGAGAACAGATTGAGAAAGGATTAGAACAGGATCGAAGGCTGGGGATGAACAGGATAAAGGAAGCAGAAACACAAGCTACAGTCAACACAAAACTACCAAATGGCAGCTCTGTTTTTCTATCATGAATACTCCTACTGCTGTACTCCCTATGTTTCTGTGAAGATTCTCAGTCATCCAGAAGAGATTATCTGGATGTCAAGTCATGGCAACTTGGCTTCTTTCTTGTTAGGTTCAAATATTTCGCTACTCATCCAAGCAGCTTCTTCAGTCTGAGGAGAGTTGGTAGGAAATCCCTGATATATCCTAGCATTCAGCTGCAGTCTTCCAATCATTTGTGGCAACTCTCTCTCTCTCTCTTCTCTGGAATCATTTAGCATCATGAAAAAAATTGTTTCTCTTTTTGGCTAAAGAACCTCAAATAAATAATTATCTTACCGGCTAGTCTAATATCACTCAATTCTATGGCTGTCCAGTCAAAGGAAAGTCCCAGTGATTCAAAGGAATTTATTCTGAGGCAAGTGTATTTAGGACTGCAGTCATATCCTGCAAGTCATTCTTGCATTTAAGTGAAAAGCATTTGAGGAAAAGAAATCAATCTGAAAACACCTGACTGCAGGAAGAACCAGAATCTTCTGGGCAAGGAGGGGTGGAAGGTCAGAACTGCCTACATGTTTGCACCTTTTGATGTGTAAATCATGGTCCTTGATATGTTAATGTGGCATCTTTGCAGTTGCCAAATCTGTATCTCTAATTAATTAAGACTTAATTGTTCCAGTTTAACTGGCTTTTGGATTATGCTTTCTTCTTTGCCTGCCAAAGTATGAAATATGTTCATTGATTTTATATAGCCAGTGGAGTACCACTGCATAATGCACATGACAACATTACTCAGGCATACAGAATTGTTTTAGCCCCATTTATAAATTGGGTTTTGCAGTCTAAAACAATGCTATCCTTACTCCCACAACACAATTTCAGTAAAGTTACTTCAGAGAATGAAGGAACCCCTTCTTTTATCTACAGAACGCTGGAGATCTAAGAATGTCCTGATCTCCCATCACATGTTGAATATGATTACTGGGAGCAGGTTTCACTACTGGTATTGCTCTTCATGCATATCATTCCCTTGATGGCCTACTGTTAAGCTGGCTGGTCTTTAAACAACTGAATTAACTGACACACACAACATAATTGGAGAAAAAGGGGCCAACTTTATTGATCACAGCAGCAGTTGTCCTGGCCAAGCATTGGGTTGGATCCACCTTATTAGGGGACCCAAATGCCTCCCAATGCCATCCACTGTTTCCTTGAGAGACATCTGGGGTGGCAGTTCCCTTGGGGGGCCACGTGGACGTAAGCCACTCAGTGTCTCCCCTGCCTCCTAGGGCGGGGACAGATCTGGCGAGCAGAGGCTCCAAGCCTCAGGTTGCCTTCCTTTTTAACCATGCTGGTGGACGAGACTGGAAACCCTGTTCCTCAGGTCTGCTGACAAGCAGCCCCATGCTCTTTGCCCTGAGCTGGCCCAATCCCTGTAATGGGTGGTGTCGTAGGCTCCTTTGCTGCTCACCATGTCGCGGCAGCCATCTTTTTTCCTGGCAGCTGCCAGCACGACCCAGCAGTTGGTCCAGCGTCAACACAGGACCGGGTAAGTCCATATTCTGTCCTTCCCATCAATATATCTGGGAGGTAAACTGGCACTGGTGTTTCACTTGACTAGAAAAAAATTCATCATGAAAAAATGTAGACATTAAAATGGCACTAATATGGTTTTGCAATGAAAAAATGCTTCAAATATTGATTACATTAAGGAAGTATATGAACATTTGCATTAAGAAAAGTCCATACCAAAATACAAAAAAATTCCTATGGAGGAATAATGATAATTGTGGCGGACAGCCCACACGTGACCCCTGTGTGTTTTGCCTCTCCCACAAGTTCACCTTTGGACACGACTTGTTCTTTTCCCTTTTATTCGCTGCCACCAGAGGATATTATCCTTACTATATCAATTATGAGTCTCACACTCTTGCTACCAAACAAAATCAGGTTTATTTAAGGATAAATAAGTGAATCACAGAATCATGGGTGTTCTATTATCATTCATTCATTAACCGTGGATTTCTTTACATGTACGATTGCTTGTATTCATTGGATTTAATCAAGAACTCAGTATATTTTCTGCCTGTCAATGTACTACCAATTCCTTTTAACTCTTTAATATTCTCTACCTAACCAACTGTCCAATATATTATCTAAACACTTCACTATCTTTTCCCTGTCTAAACGCTTCACCATGTTTTTTCCTAACTTGCTCTGTCACACTCTAACTGCTTCTCTGGCACTCCCAGTTTCCTTGACTCTGCCCCTCCTGTCCTGTCATAGGCTCCTGAACTGGAGCTCTAAAAATTCCTATGGAGGAATAATGATAATCATGTATTGTGAAGTCAATTGTGACTTATGGAAATCCCTTTTCAAAGGTTAAGAAAACTCAGAAGTGCTTTAAGGCACTGGTTATTAACCTTTGTTACGCAGATGTTTTTGGACTGCAACTCCTAGAAGCCTTCA